CAAAAGCTGGAACGAAGAAGTGAATAATTAGGAATTGAAAGCTGGAAACAAAGTTGATTTAATAAATAACTGCAAATGATATTGTGAAAAAGAAAACAAATGCTTAGAGCATAGCTAGGCATGAGAGTGCTACATTAAACTCTATAAGAGAAAGCAAGTAACCATTAATAGTTAGCTGTAGATATTAAAATAGTTAACTATGATGAATACTATATACTAGTGATGAATCCTTGGACATTAGCTTGAACATTACATCATGCTGATAAAAATTATTTCATTAATTACATTTATTATTGAAATAAGGGGTCGTATGGAAGTTTTGATTGTTTTTTTAGATCGTTAAAATAAATGATTTTTCAGAATACAATACATATGTTTTTATTTTATTTCATACAAAATCGTGAATCATTTGCTTGATTTGACTAAACTATCATTCAAATTGAATGATTAAACAATTTCAAATTTTAGCATAGACTGTTGAGATAATTGGTATCGGTGTTTGTCATGTTTATTTTTCTTGAAATGTATGGTACCAGTGTTCTTATGTCGTCATTGAATGCTTCATTGAACACTTCAATTCAATGCACAATATTCCAACCAATGATATTTGTGTTTAATTTAAGATTATTCTTCATTTATAAGTTAGAAAAAATTCTAAATTAATTATTAAAATATGAAAATAGAAGTATCAAACACCACAAAATACTTACAGGAGACTTAGCGGGCTAACTAACCGTGATAGAAAAGTACTTTGTTTTTCATAATTTTAACTTCCTCTATGTTTTGTATTAATAAAGTACAACAAATGTGTCTAATCTAATTGGTTACAATTCTTGTTTTTGGTGGAAGAGACCATGGTTCAAATCCTATCATTGATATATTTTTATATGAAATAAAAAATTGACTGTGTAGGCGAAAATACCCTACCTACTTTCACTCTCGTTGCAGGAAAATTGAAATGGAGCAAATCAAACTCTTTAAAATGTACTAGCCTATAGCCCGGCCCGTTGGCCTTAATTGTTTAAGGAAAATGGAGTTACGATATCTATAATGGTAGTGTCGAGAAATGAGTCGTGTTTTTTATTATCATAAGATTGTTGCAATTTTGCAATTCGTTGAAGAAGAACATGTAATTTGAATGAACATTCACAATAAGTTAAAAACAAAGTCATTATTTAATTAAGGGAAAAAACATACCATTCACACACGTATTGTAAGGATGAGGAGGATACATTTGAAGATTAGCTAATCAAGATAAAAATACTTACAAAATTTTACTAATAAAAAATCTAATCTATTTGAGTATTATGATAAAAAACATGAAGGTCCAAAATAAAAAACTTAAGACATTGTCTAATTGTTCATTACATGGTACTCAGTTCTCCAAAGGCAAAAATAATTTCACCAACACAAGTTCACAATAACCAAATGCATTGTTCCAGGGACCGACTGTGACCATGACTTCAAATGTCTGTCCTCCAAGCATGTTCAGAAGGGCCATATAGTCAGCATTGACAACATCTGCATGACCTTATACAAATCCAACAATCGTTCGTAACTATGATGAGGGGAAGACGATCTCAACACCGATGAAATCGTCCTCAATTGTGAGGTGGACGAAATGGATTCTGAATGCAGGGGACCATGACGTCGTCAAGTCCATTACATGTCTGGATAACAGAAAAGAGGTGCCCTCATGTAAACACAGAAACGAATATGGTCAAAGCAAATCAAGAAAATGTAGCATGCCACAAAAGGTGTACAATTAAAAAGAAATTTATTCGTTTAGTTACCTGATTTGCGACATCCACTGGCAACATAATGAGATCGATGCTATCGGTACGCTCACAAATTTCAACAACATCATCGTATTGCAGATTAGCAATAAAATCATGGGGAAGCCTATATATTGGACTGTAAGTTTTGGCACTAAGTTGTGAAAAAGAATCAAAATGAAGTGATGTAGTACTCGTTGGATGCATGAGCAGTACTTACTGATTGAATTGAGGTAGACTCGCCATATTGAATGCAATTCGCACGGTGATTGGAGCCGAAGTGATTTGTTTGGGATTCACTTGAACGTGGTTCCACACTTGAAAATGAAAATTGTAACAGGTATCTCCATTATATAAAGGAGAGAAAGTGGTTCCACACTTGAACGTGATTCACTTGCCGCATGTAATGGAATACATGTGTGGATAGTGTGAGAGATGTTTATATTGGCAGTTAGTAGTTGGATAAAAAATGTGGGTCCGATAAAATTTGGTACTGGATGTAATTTTTCTAATATATACACGGATGTAGGGGTCTTTTATATGTGCGTGCAGCGGCTAATAGGTTTAGGTTTGCAAAATATTAGGGCTTGTAGTGCGAGGCCTATTTGGTTTGGGTTTTCTTTTTTCAATAATCATGTATACATTTGTTATTTCAACAGCGAGGCGCGTTGGGGTTATTTAAATGTTATTGCCTGGTAGAAATGGCAATGGGTCGGATTGGGGACGGATAGTGCATATCCGTTACCCTACCCAAAGTAGTTCGGGTTTTACCCATACCCATGCCCACATAAGAAATGGATAGAAAATACCATGCCCATGCCCGTTCGGATTTCGGGTATCCACGGTTACCCCTACCCATAATAGGTTCTCTTTGTAACTCTAACTAATCTGTTAGTATTCACACGTATTCTCACGTTACGTAAGAAAAAAATTACGACAATACTTCACCGAAATGAAGAAAAGTAATTTAAATAACAAAATTTCATAAAAATATTATATTAATATTTGAATTCACTATTGAAGGGTAAGTGGTTACAGTGGATAGATGGTCAAACCGGCAAGAATAACCAGTTCTTTGATTCACTACTGCAGGGTAAGTGTTTACAACAAATAGATTGCAGTCCATAAAAAAGAATTGATGGCTAGAAGTGATTGGTTCCATGACCCATCCCTCCTGGCCTCTCACGAACTCTACATGAATTGAAGTGTTGAAGAGCTGGGCTTCTTATTGGGCTTTCAAAAATAAGTGATTGGTTTGAGGACCCATCTCTCCTGACCTCTCACATACTGCGATAACTACTTAATAAAAAGGTTGTGAAGGTAGCTAAAAAGTAAAGTATCAGAATTGAAACCTCAAAGTAAGATCACTATTAGAGTCATAATGGTTCGTTGGTGATGTGATGGAACAATAACTAAAGTTTCAGATGCAGAAAATATTTCTGTATTTTAGATAAACCTGAAGGCAAATGATTGCAAATTAGACGCAAGTTCCTACACTTTTCGCCTTAACAACCATCCCGTAAAATAGCAGCGAACCAATCCAAATAAACAACGTTTCATCATTTTACAGAAAGCTGCGGAAAGCAGTTAGAGCTAAGCTATTGCACACTGGGTTATGTAAAACAAACCCAAGAAACTAAAAAGAAAAGGTCCAACAATCTGATAATGACAAATAACCGGGGAAAAAGTCTGCTGGAAATAGTTTGTAGAGCAGAAGAAAGTGAAATGCCTAGCTAACCACTTCCTACTAAATGTTTGAGTGTGGTTGACATTTAGGAACACAGTCCAGGAATCCATTAAAAGGCTTTCATCCTCAAAAGATAGCAGGAAACATCTTCAATCAAACCAAATCACAATGAGTGACCATGTGATTCCACGCTCCAACTTCAACGACAAACTGGTAATACTTTGAATGAATGCAGTTGAGAATGGGGATGAAGTTAGTGTCCCAATCGATATCTGTCTCCGCAACCACATCACCAGCAATGCGTCTCAGATTGACAGAGGGAAAGACAACTTCCAGCTCTTAATTTACTTCATTCACGGCGAAATGCACAACACTAAACATAGAGTGAGCTGAAGTTGAAATTCCAATGACTTTTAGTTTTCCGATCATGATGTATATCTTCCCCTAAAACATACACAGGTGTTATTCATGACCAAAATGAAGCAAATGTTGAATTAGGAAATGACAGTGATTTAACAAAATTGGTTTTTATTTCAGTTTGAGCGACGTACCATATTATTTGGACTGAACTTTATCATATTAAGGTGTGGAACTGTGGTGTTCTCAGACATGGCTATACCTTCCCTCTTATAGCACTGGTCCAACGATATATCTAGAACCAAATCGGGGTCCACTTTCCCTGATAATAAAGGAACCAGAATCACCACTATCAATAGATACCACACAAAATAGAAATTAAAGTTGCAAAGATAGCAAATTCTGAAGCTGATTGGTTTAACAAAGGATGCAAGTGAGGGCAGTGGATGTTCAGATACATTTTAGTTGCTCGTGAGGAAGAAAACGAATAACCTCCTAACATCCATTTAACAATAAAAACACAAACACATAAGTACCTAAAATTAGAGTGATAAGAGATGTTATTAATTTACAAAACATGATGACCAGAATTGAAGTGAGAAAATAAATACGGAAGATACTGCTTATCTTATTAACATGTATCTTCAAACAACGTTATACTATCCCTATTGAGTAAACAGAAAGTTAATTAATTGAGCTAATTGGATACTAAAATTCTTGTTCGTAAACTACTCCATATTCAGAACATAGTCATTATCAAACGAAAGAAAGGCCAGCAGCTACTCCGTCACGAAAAAGGTTACAATTCTCAAGGACATGATAACCAAAAGCATACGAATTAGCTACTCAATGGACGCAAACTATGGAAATGTTCATTTGTTCCCACATTACCACAAAAAGGTTAGTATCTTTATAGTAAGAAAAAGACAGAAAATTTTCGCACCTTCGTTTTGCTCAATGAATAGTGATGTGAAGACCGCGATCTGGCCCAAAACTCCGGTGTCAGAAACAACTTCTTCAAAACTTGGTATTGCCGAGTCCGTAAAAAAAAACATAAGCTATCTCTCCCCTATGCAAAATCAACAGAAGTTGGTCAGATAGAAAAATTAATTGTTTTCAGAATGAGCATAAATAAAATAACCATTTACGGACTCAGGCAGTAGGAGCGTGATCCACTTCTCTAACCTGTTTCACTTTCATTCACAATGCGGAGAATCCTTGACTAGACCTTGAGTCTCGACTAAAGGAACAAGGCCCTCTTGAGTCAATTGCCTAGAGGGACGTATCCTTCTCTAGAACAACTGATCAAGGCGTTCTGAACTAGACTCCCTCTATCGAAAGGGGTTCTCAATCGATACAAAGCAGTGAATCAACCCTCGACTAAAGCAATCGATCCACTACTATCAATCTATGGTGCTCTATTGACCTAATCAGGTATTCCCTCTCATAGAATCAAAGCAGAATCAATAATCTCGACTAAAGCAGAATTGAATCATGAAAACATGCATAGATTGAATATGAACTCAAGATTATCAAGTCAGAGTACTCATACAATCATCCAATCAAACAAACCTAGCTAGGGTTCCTCAAAACCTAAGTGAAGGGAAGTTACTCCATAGAGAAGAGAGAGACTGCAGTAAGAATCTTCAGATGATCAGTCTTCAAGTCCGGGCTTGTTCCTCGAGCTTCCAAGGCGAAGAAATCCTCCAACTCCACTCCAAGAATGCCCTCAAATCGCCCTCTCTCTCTTTGGTTCGTCCCTTGGGTGTTTGGGATCCAAAACCCAGCTCTCCTCTTCTCCTTTGGCTGAAAATCGGGTTTTAAGCAGAAAATCCCGACTCACACGGGCAGGGTGGCACGGCCGTGTGGCTTACCCAGTTGCCCGTGTGAGTCAAAACGCTGCGTTCCAATTAGTTCGAATTCCAGGCTCTTTGCAAGGCCAGAGTGGCACGGCCGTGTGAACTTCCTTTTTGCCCGTGTTTGCTCACGCAGAATTCCACACGGCCAGACTGGCCTCTTGCACGGCCGTGTGGATGTCCTGCTCTGCCCGTGTTTGCTCTCGGCGAAACTCGCACGGCCAGACTACTCCTTCACACGGCCGTGTGATCATCAGGGCAGCCCGTGTGACCTCCTTTGTGACTTGTCTCGCACCCGATCTTCACCCAATCGACCCCGAACTCGCTCCTAAACCTTCATTCACTTGCCAGGACCTGAAATATCACAAACAAGCACAACCTAGCGTGAAATCGGTCTAAAACACGAGAAACCACCTCTCAAACGGTGTAAGAACAGGGGTGAAAACATGTGTAACTAACGGTCTATCAAACTCCCCCACACTTAACCGTTTGCTTGTCCCCAAGCAAACCTAACTCAAACCAATGCAACTCTCCAGACCTCTATAGCAACAAACAACCCAGATCGTAGGTAGAGGACTTCCTAGATCATTTAGCAACTTACGAGGTCAACCGACGCACAAGTCATCTCATAACTTCTTCGGCGAGTCGGCATCATGGCAAATAGTGAACAGAGGACAAATGAATTGTGGATGAAGAGATTCTCAAAAACAACAGATCATGGACTCACATTTTTCAAGGTGCTCTATTTTCTGCTTAAGGATGGTTGGAACCCCTTTTCTTTCTATTATGCTTGTTTTCTGTTATTTTTCTTTTTCAAGGGTCCCAACCTGCTCTTACCGGCCATGCCAGGAGCGGATGTCTCGAGCCTCATGCGGGGGAAAGACATGTAAGGGGGCTGGAGGTAGTAGGTGGAAATTGGGAACGAATTCCCGTCTCCCCTTACACACTTTCGCCCTATTCTCACGGGAGACGTTTATTTTGAAGCACATTTTCGAGCACCTGTTATTTTCAAAACATGATACAAGAGTCCATGACAGGCAGAGAATCCACAACACCACACAATTCAAGGGTCCTAAGATCACTAATTCACTCAATCAACCAACTCAATATGAAGAAGACATGAGACTTCTTAAATGCATAAACATCCTCCATAGTGCTACACTACCTCCCTAGGTTGCATATTACTATAAAGACTGTCAATTCAAAGCATACTGAGCAGGCAATTGCAAGGAACACGTACTTAGAGCCCTCAAATTTAAAAATTTGGACAGTGGACTAGGCTCCAAGCACACAAACAGCCAAACATTCACCCGCATACATAATCGAACATCCCCCCACACTTAAGCACGACATTGTCCTCAATGGAGGAAAGATAAGGAGGGTAGAACGAAGTTACCAGATCAAGGGTGAATGATGATGAACGGGTCAGGCGGTGCCATCCAGAAAGAGAGAGTAATCAGAACACAAACACCACACAAAATCTCACAAAGGTTGAGTTATTGACTCTAAAATCAAATAGCAAAACTGACTCAACCGAGGAGAAATAGAGAAAGAAATGCAAACCGACTGGTTGGGTTGCCTCCCAACAAGCGCTTCTTTCACGTCGTGAGCCGGACGATGGCTCCTAAGTTTCGGTCCATGCTAGAACCTCCTTGAAGTTGAGGTTCTCGTCGATGAGGTGGAGTCTCAAGTCACGAGCATGTGGTGTGGCAGGTGATGAAGGCTCATGTACTTGATGCAGATGAAGTCTCCACCCTCGAGACCTCTTCTTCTCTTCTCTCGTCTCATTGCCCCAAACCAGATAAGACAACATCAATTGGCCACCATCGCGTCCACCAAGAGGGACCGATGTCGAGGTGGCCTTGGTCTGGCAAAGAGACACTGCAAATGGGTCCTTGCTAAGCAGTTCCTCGAAGTTTGGTGGAGATATCACATGTAACTCATGGCCGGTGCAGGCCTCTTCCACCTTAACTCCGTCCTCAGCCTGGACGCCAATTGCTTCTTCAACCTCCTTTCCTTCTTCATGTGGTATCACCCCTAGGAAATGATCAAGAACTTCTCCAGCTTCACTTTCGCCATCCTCCACAACTTCTTTCTGCACCCTTTCTTGCTCTTCTTCTTCTAGCACGGATTGGAGAGCAAGTTGCCAAGCAATTTCTTTCATGAGATCTTCTTGCATCTCCGAACTCATGCCCGCCTCTTCAAAGCTCAGTTTGGGGTGTGGGAAGGTGTGGTCGGCTATGACATGACACTCCTGATCATGATCGTCACGGGAGCTCTCCGTGACAACTTCAGTGTGCTCCACAATGTCCTTGTAGCCTTCTTCTTCCTCCTCATCTTCTTGTATGGTAGCAGAAGGGTGATCTGGAGCAGGTTGCGCCCAAGATCGCTCAAGATCATCGACGCTCTTCTTAAGGCTCAGGAGGATCCCCTCTGTTTCACGATAGGCCTGGACACAATGATCCATACTGGAGCATGATCTCTCCATGAGAAGCCTCAAATCATAGTGTGGATCTGGCTGTGGAGTGTAGCATGGCTCTGCAGAATGGCCCGTGAAGGCCGCCATGGGTAACTCCAGCTCCAATGGCCCTTCTGGTTGTGGGAGAAATTCTTCTTGGTAATGAGGTTGTTCTTGATATGCCCAAGGGTCCGGTTGTTCTCCGTAGTAAGGGGGTTGGTACTGGAACCCGAATCCATAGTATTCTCCGCCTTGATTGCTCCACGGAGTCTCGGGGTAATACCACCCAGATGGTGGTGGATACCCCCAATGATTGGAGAAGCCATTAGGATCCATGATTCAGATCTGCACCAACAAAAACAAAAACACCCAAGTGAAAAGCAAGGGTGGAAAAGAAAAGAAAAACGCTAAAGTAACAAACTTCTGCCTTTCCTAATACTCTAGAAAGTCCCCGGCAACGGCGCCAAAAACTTGATGCTCTAAAACACAACACCTAACAAAGGCCAAGTGTAACCAATGAAAGGGACTGCAGTATAGTGGCTCAAGTGATAAATATCGAATCCACGGGTCTCTAGAGTTACTATTACTCAGCTTCAGTTTATTATTTAGCAAATCAGATTAAGATGAAAGAACTAAAACTACTATAGCAAACTACAATTAAAGTTAATCTAATTACAGGTTGGGAACTCACTTAGGTATGATTCCCCCTAGCCACTAGCCAGATTAACGATTGATGATCTCTAACCTGTTTCACTTTCATTCACAATGCGGAGAATCCTTGACTAGACCTTGAGTCTCGACTAAAGGAACAAGGCCCTCTTGAGTCAATTGCCTAGAGGGACGTATCCTTCTCTAGAACAACTGATCAAGGCGTTCTGAACTAGACTCCCTCTATCAAAAGGGGTTCTCAATCGATACAAAGTAGTGAATCAACCCTCGACTAAAGCAATCGATCCACTACTATCAATCTATGGTGCTCTATTGACCTAATCAGGTATTCCCTCTCATAGAATCAAAGCAGAATCAATAATCTCGACTAAAGCAGAATTGAATCATGAAAACATGCATAGATTGAATATGAACTCAAGATTATCAAGTCAGAGTACTCATACAATCATCCAATCAAACAAACCTAGCTAGGGTTCCTCAAAACCTAAGTGAAGGGAAGTTACTCCATAGAGAAGAGAGAGACTGCAGTAAGAATCTTCAGATGATCAGTCTTCAAGTCCGGGCTTGTTCCTCGAGCTTCCAAGGCGAAGAAATCCTCCAACTCCACTCCAAGAATGCCCTCAAATCGCCCTCTCTCTCTTTGGTTCGTCCCTTGGGTGTTTGGGATCCAAAACCCAGCTCTCCTGTTCTCCTTTGGCTGAAAATCGGGTTTTAAGCAGAAAATCCCGACTCACACGGGCAGGGTGGCACGGCCGTGTGGCTTACCCAGTTGCCCGTGTGAGTCAAAACGCTGCGTTTCAATTAGTTCGAATTCCAGGCTCTTTGCATGGCCAGAGTGGCACGGCCGTGTGAACTTCCTTTTTGCCCGTGTTTGCTCACGCAGAATTCCACACGGCCAGACTGGCCTCTTGCACGGCTGTGCGGATGTCCTGCTCTGCCCGTGTTTGCTCTCGGCGAAACTCGCACGGCCAGACTACTCCTTCACACGGCCGTGTGATCATCAGGGCAGCCCGTGTGACCTCCTTTGTGACTTGTCTCGCACCCGATCTTCACCCAATCGACCCCGAACTCGCTCCTAAACCTTCATTCACTTGCCAGGACCTGAAATATCACAAACAAGCACAACCTAGCGTGAAATCGGTCTAAAACACGAGAAACCACCTCTCAAACGGTGTAAGAACAGGGGTGAAAACATGTGTAACTAACGGTCTATCACCCACTCTTACATGTTATTCGAAAAAAATACAAGTAAATTTTACTTTTTACGATAAAACGAAGGGTAGAACAATTTAAGAATGAAAAATAGTGAAAATAGAATGGGTAATTGAGTCTAACAAGTTGAAAGAGCGACCCTAACTAGTTGAAGACAAGTCAAAATATGAGAAATATGTATAGAAATTGTAAGAAATTGAGATAAAATGAGTCTAGAACGGGGCGGGGCGGGGCAGGGCGGGTCGGAAGTAGATACCCATGCCCCACCCCACGCTACTGCGGGTCGGGTAATACCCGCCCCAATCGCGGGTCAGGTCGGGCAATACCCGCGGGGCGGGTTGAAATTGCCATCACTAATGTGGGGTGTAACGAAAATGCATTTATTTGAGTATGCTATTGGTTTAAACCTCATACCCGGCAGATAAGCTTGATTCTCACATGCATAAGGGATGTCCCTGACAACAAGGAAACGGAAACTGAATTTCTCAATATCACCCGTGTCCTCCATGACATACAATAGGGTATCCGCACGAAACGAAAAACGAATATCAGACATAGCCACTCGCTGAATAGAGCTGTTCTCTTCGATGTCAAACAACATTACTCCATAAACAAGACCCTCATGAAGACTTGACAAAAATCGATTTAAATATCATTGCCCAATGATGGCTTCAACCAACTGATCCTGCATAATCAAGGAAAATGAATTAATCTTTTGACAATTGTTATTGAGAAAGATTCCATAAGGAATAATACACTGACCTGTTTGTCAATGAATAAGAGATTAGCTTGTTGAAGTGAATTCCGCGTAAGATGTAACTTCCCCCATAACCTCAGCAGCCGCAGCCGCAGCACCCACGTTTCGTCCTAAACATGAAGAACAGAAACAACATGACCAGACATGCTTGTGAGATTGGATTGCCAAAGTGATTGAGCAGTTTTGGAATGGAGGTATGATGTCTACGTGAGGTATTTATATGCAAGTAACCTCAACGAATTTTCAGGTAAAAAGAAATTAGGGGGGTGGTTAGCTAGCCATCCGTGCGAGAATCAGGGATAGTGGGGTAGTGCCTGAAAAATTGCAACGGTAAATTCATGGAATTATTTTCGATAATAAAACCACGTCTGAAATTATAAAAATAAAACTTAAGCAAAATGGTTTAAAAACTGCAGCAATGACCCAACCCAGAAAAATTGCATTACCCGTGCAAGACGGGGTAAAGTTTTTTTGTTTTTCTTTTTAGAAACGGAGCGCAAAGAGGCGGTCCAATCCTTAACTATTGATCCATCTCGGAGTTTCGACCCCTGGTCTATCAAAATACAACCATTAACTCAACATAGAACATGGGATATCAAAGACATGAGAGATGGGGTAAATTTCTATAAAGATGCCAAAATTCTAACGTACATAGTAATTACAATTCCCTTACAACTGCATGTATTTGGAGATTTTGAAAGAAAATACCTTAAACGGCCTAGTTCAAGAAACCCTCGAGGAGGGTGCAAATAGTTCAGGCTTCAGGAACCGAGCTTCTGTTGTTCTACGCCTTGGTCTTCGTGAATTCTCCAGCTGAATTGCATCAGGAATTGACACCGCAACATCCCAGTAATTTTAGGCTGCTTCTCCGACAGACGGAGTAGGTTACGTATGTGTTAGGTGGGGTTAGAAGTGATTGGCGCTGGTGAAAGTTGGTGTACCAAGAATTCCTCAAGAATTTCAATGAAAAAGATATGAAACTCTTTAGGACCAGCGGATATTGTAGTGGAAAAGACAACGATATAGAATGGGGAAATTTGGCCGGTGCACGACCTCGGAAGGAAGCTGAGAAGTTTGCTGGGGATAAGTTGTGGATGAGGATAGTAGATCCACTCTCATGGAATAATGAATTCGAGTTTGGGATTTCCTAGCTCTAAATCAATGATGATTGTTAGCGCTAAGGGGAGGAAGAAAGAGGCGGCTGTGTGAGTTGATAATGGGGCTGATTGCAAATTGCGGAGTAGAGCATTTGGAGAATTACTGGGAAGTGGAAATCGACTAAAATGACAAGGGGGCGACAGCTATCCATAGGGTTTCAGTAGATGAGAATGAGGTCTTCCCCATATGGATTAGGCCGATGAAAATGTAAAAGGCTCATAATAACAAATTAGAGCCTTTTAAAAAGGCTTATTGGTCCGTAGATATTAAAGCCCAGGCTGTAATTCTATCGACTATTACTTAATTCCCTACTAATTGAAATAGGGGTGGGCAACGAGTAACGGGTATTTGGGTATACCCATACCCGTCCCGTTATTTGAGAGTTATGGGTACCCAAATACCCGTAATTTTTTTAACGGCAAGAGACATGAGATCAAGATATTCTATAATGGGTACTCGCGGGTTACACGTTAATACCTGATTGGGTATTACGGGTACCCGTACTACCCGCCCAAGTAAGAAAATACAGATGAGCTACTACAATTTGTTAGCCAGCATTTGTTTAAAGAACAATCAATCTCACAACAAATGTTGAATATCTATTCCAAGGCAAGCAGTGCTAGCCATTCAAATAGGTCTTGGCTTTCTTGATGAATCCAAGTGCTTGCCTTCAAATATTAAAACTTATTGAAATTCTGGGACGCATCTAAATTGACGTTCCCATGGACCATTTTGTTATTTAAGAAAAATACATTTTAAATCTATTTATAAAACAAAAGACCACAAAGAAGTTTTAATTGGTATAATCAAGCATCAGCTTAACTCTAATTCATTGAATGGAGGCTACGGTTCATTGAATCCGTACAGCTTTTCGCTTCTTCTTATTGATCTGCTCTAGAAAAAATGGTGGACGAATGATTTGTTTGAGATCGGAGGAAGCGGAAGAGAATTACGGGTTACCCGTTATCCGTCCCGTACGGGTAATGGGTATCCATTAAATCGTACGGGTTTGGGACATGGAATGAAATTTATACAATAAATGTGTTTGGATACCCGTTTCAAACGGGACGAGTATCCCGTCCCGTCTCTTTGCCACCCTTAAATTGAAATACATTTTCTTGATGTTTAGCTAGGTTGATAACAACTGGCCGTACTGCATAAAGACTGGGCCATAAATTAATAAAAACCATTTTGGCGACTACCATTTAAGAAAGAGTACCATCTAAGAACACAAAAATAAAAATCTAAGGAAATGAAGCATGTTTATCCGACAGGGACATGTAATTAAGGTCATCGTGCAGTTGGTAGATGATGTTCCTAGTGATCCGGGGTGCATAGAGGTGGTTGTTTCCGCTTCAAGGAAGTTGGAGTTGCGCCTTCTGGTTCCTCAGCTTCTAATCCATTGCCATCAGCTTCAGCTGTATTGAAGTCGTGTGATGATTGATGTGGAGATGGAGTGATGGCGATAAATTCTCAGGAAGACTGAGCAGTCATCACATCGGCCTGACAACATCAAATAAACTACAACCAATGAATCTACAGCTAGATTTCGTAAAGCAAAATATATTTCTTAACAACTGTATACTGAAACAGGCAATCATTATACTTTTCCCATCACCTTAATCTGATGAGCAAGGTCCTGGAAATTCCCATTTCTAGGGTCAAGCTCCTCCACAATCCTCATCACGCTTAGTTTTCTTGATGGATGATAGAAGTCGTAGTCACTAATCTTGACATCCAGTTTCAATGCTTTGCCCTCTAGAGATAAAACTTTAGGAGGTATGGTGGTATCATGTGGATCTTTCATCCTATTTACCAACTCCTGGGCAGAGGTGTTCAAGAATTTGTCGGCCGCATATTCTAGTAAAACCAAGTCAATGGGATCTTGCAAATCCCTCACATTCACGACAATGCGAAAGCTGAAACATAATAGAAGATTGAGATCATGAAATTCCAGTTGTATAGTACCAGAAACAATCCATTTGCTGGTACATTTGAATGTATAAGAACAATAATCTTTCTCCTTTCATATGTAGTAGACAGATTAAGTGGCATAGGGTATGATGGCAGCCATATACACGCTTTCTACCATCGTATTGAAATTAGGAATGCAAGGGAAAGGGTTATGGACGATAAGACTCACCTTTTGATTGCTTTTGAAGACGTAAGTCCGCATTTTGAGCAGAAAAATCCACCTTTATCTTCTTTAACCAAGCAACGACATTTAAATGATGCACACCCATTGAATGCCCAGTTATGGTCGACCTTCGTAACAATGCAATTGACCTGCACAATTTTCTGGTGACAGACAAACAAATATAATGACACAACATGATTACAGTGGTCAAACACATTGTGAGAACAGATTTTGAGTGGCCCAAGATAGATGAACTGGATTAAACCTGAACTCTATCACCCGATCACAACTCATTAAGTTGACCAATTGTCACTTCTGGGATTACAACGATTGGTTCAGAGTCTACAAAGTGCGGCACAGGAAGCGGCACATTCCTACCAATATGAATTATACACATGTTATAAAATTGTTTGCCAACCAATCACTTGCCATACAATTCAACTTGGATGTTTGGGGACTACCTTTCAGGATGAACCATGTCAGCAGGAGGATCAATGTCGACATAGTTCCGCGTGGCACTCGAGGAAGACAAATAATATTTGGATGCATAAATTGTAATGCAAGTCAGTAATTAGATAGGAGTTGCCTATATTGATATAAATGTAGGGACATACTATTCCATTCCCGAACAATTATAGATGTGAGAACCAATGGTGGTGGTGTTAGAAAACAAAACTTATGGAAAGTGAGAGTAACCTAGAAGTTATGGTAATTCAATCGGGAAGCTATTAAAATAAGAGGAATGGAAGGGATCATATAGAATGAAAAATGTTACTCGGGGAGAAAGAGTTTGATATCCTTCCGTGGGGTCCAGTTGGTTGAGCATTTGGGAAGCAGAACATTAGAAAATTGTTCTAAGTGGGCTCTCACATATGCAAACCAAAGATAAGAGGATAACATTGTCAGTGTTATTTCAAGAGAAAATCGAGGCGCCGTAATGAGGAGACCAACCCAGCAAATCTCTAGTGACGTTATGATATTTGGGGATGTCAACGACTTTGATGAACCAGAACTTGGACGGTGGAGCAGTTGGAATCAGATCAATAGGTTGAGCAGTAGTGTCTCTGTTGAAATGAATCATCAAAGGGTTTGGAACAGGATGGAAATCCTCCTTTGTTGAAGTTACTTTAAATTTCGCCAGCAGATAGCATTTTTTATCCTCAAGCTGAGTACCAAATATTCGGATGGAATCTAGTGGAACTTGCGCCCAAATGTCATTCCCCTGCCACGACACAAAAACCTGATTGAAATCGAAACCGAGATGCGAAGAACAAAAGTGGTAGAAGAGAAGGAGTTAAAGATGACGGTATCTCGGAATCTATGAGGATGAAATCCAAAGAAATGACTGTATCCTTCTTTGCATGGTAGGCAGTCCATTTCCTAGAAACCCAACATTGGAGCTCGAAGGGCTGTTGGGCAGTAGTAAGTTCGGTGATGGAGCGTGGAGCGGTGACTGGGTAGTAGAGGTCGTGGCCTCGGGGGGGGGGGGGGGGGGGGGGGGAGTGGAGAAGGAGCCGCCGAAATGGTAGAGTTTCTGGGAAGTTTAGAGTTGAAGCGTCGCCTCGACAATTGAGAAAGCAGGGATGTTAAGGCCATGGTTGAAGACTAAGCTTGGGTGGGCGGATAGGTAAGTAGGTTTGTGGGCTCTAATTGTTAGGACATAATCATTCTAAAATACGTGGGTTGTTCATTAGGCCCAATACAGTTAAAGACAGTTGTGATGGGCCTTCATGTAATGCGACCATGGTTGTCATGCCGGCGGCATGCCACCCGGTTGAACCTGGTTCAACCTGCGTCAGTCATAAAAACGGCATGACATCACCGGTATGACCGATATGATCGACTTACGCATTCTAAGCAAAATGATATCATTTTAATGAATGTAATTAATAAAAAAATAATTTTGTTTTTCATTTTGTGAATTTAATAGTTAAAAGTTGATGATATTTGTTAGATTGTAACTAAATTGTCCAAAAGATGTTTTTATATATGATTAAATACATTGAATATTATTTTTTTCACATTTTTTTAAACCGACATGAACCGACACATTGGTATAAACCGATTTGAAAACCTTGACTGCGACCGATTTAAGAACTTAATATGACAATTTCTTAGATGTGCCCATCGCACAATAAGCTGGGGTGAAAATCATAATATGGAATTTTGTAATCCGGGTTGCGATAAATACGCAAATTATCTATAAAATACGTATGGGTGTTTTACTTACCCACTAAACTAATTTTATGTTTAATAACAGGCTAATTGTCATACTATATAAAATTTTGTCAACGATAGATATAGTAACTATGTGCATCAAAGTTTGGCATAGTGAACATAATGTCTCGGTTATAAATAAAACAGTGATTGAAAATAATTCCCCACGGCAAGATAAACACAATTCTTAAGAAACCATTGCAAAGTAGGACAGCGGATAGGAAGAGGGATACTTTCATCAAATTAAATCACCAAAGAGTTTCATCAAGATGAAACCACAATGATCGTGCAGATGGTCCCATGCACCTAATTTAACCAAGAACTGGTACGTCTTTCCCTGGATGGAATCAATGATACTCTTCAAGTTGCTGTCCCAATAGGTATCATCCCTACCGACCACTTCTGCTGCAATCCATCTGAGACGGGTACAAGGAAATATGGTACGAATCTCACCAGTAGTGTCGTTAATGGTCAAGTGTAGAACATCAAGGTTGGTTTGACTTGACCACGAAAGAGTCAAGTCCGTAACTTCTCCAGCAAGTATATAGGCCTTCTCCTATGAAAAACAAAAAAAAGCTATCGTCATATGGAATGGGAACAAAGGTGTTACACTGATAGAAACAACTGTGTACAAAATTAAGACAAAAGAAAGGATACAATACCATATTGTTATAGTTACATTTCAGAACATATAGCTCATGCGTCGTAGCAACTTCAGATATCGGCAAAGCTTCATCGTATGGCAGGTGCGCAAATACTTGATCCTCTATATCATGGTGATGAACTTGCCTAATTGAAATAGACATAATTGATTCGCAAACAATCTTATTAAGTTACCAGACCATACAATCTTATAAAGCTTTCAAGTGAAATGATTTACTTGTCTAACAAAGGATGGACGTCAGGACAATGAAGGTTAATATATGTTTTGGTAGCACATGATGCAACAAAAGAAAATTGGCCTACACATCATAGCACAAGTACATGAATTAATTAAATGGAATACCACGTTATAAGAAAAAAACGATTCAAAATGAAAATTGGGTATATTACCCAAAATCCATTTTATCATGGGTCAAACAAAATTTGGGTCATTTTCCTTAACGCATACTTGTACTTAATTTTTTAGTTTGCGTCCAAATTGGACCATATGACTATTACGACAACCAATCGAGCTTAATATGCACAATTCAAACCCACTTCAGCATATGGGTCCAGTTGGGTCTAACAAATTATGCATATAAGGCATACAGGTTGTTCAAATTACTCAATGGGCTACCAGTTACTATGTCTAAATATGAAAAGCATGCATGACAGGGATCAAGGTCATTGGCCGAAAGCAAATAATAGGACACATTCCAAATGTAAAATTCTTGCGTATATGTCGATTACACTTGGACGGCCAGGTTAAAATAATTTTAGATTTTGTCCTTCTCCATCGCACAATTTTTTGTTTTTTTCTCCTTTGTCGGTAACACCAAACTTAGACCCAACAAATGATACCGTGTTTAGTCACTTAAATTAGATCGACATCCTAACCTAATTGCTTTATGCGCGGGAACCTAATGCAATGGCAAATACATATAGGCATAACTAAATGGTCGATCAATCGTAGACATAATAAGGGTAATTAGGATAGCCAAAAATAATGCACACATGCGTGCCCACATTATATTTAATTAATAACAAATTACTGATGTTTTGTAGTCAATCAATGAAAACCACTCAACCCATAAAGATTATCAACTTCAACAAATTTACGGCAACGTTGTAAGGGAAAGATGCCTACCTTGTTCATAATTAATGTATAAGGAGGTGAAGTCCACAACCTTTCCTAATGCCGCCACATCAGTAATGATTTCCTCGAAAGCAGGTATCATTGAATCACAAAAATAAACATCTGGTTTCTCGCCTCTAATAGTAAATGGAAACAAATACATTCCCTTAGCTAGGCACAAAAATTAGTTTTAAAAATGGGATTCACAACGTCAAGCATAGCCTCACCCAATCAGTTCGAGAGTAATCCGCTTGTTTCGAAGCGGCAAGCTTGAGTACAACAATTGGCTTGGTTGACAGCTGGTTACAATGCCTATCAAATCTACAAACAAAATCGATCATTAGGCATAATTCACATTGGATCATAACCAAGACTAAAACCAAAATTCAAGTGCATAACACAAACCCGACAATATTTCGTGGTTCAGATGCGCAAAGACACTCGATGGAGGGCAGGGCTCGATTGTACATCAAAGAAAGGAAGACTATAAATACACCCTTCATACAGGCTGGGCATCAATCTCATAACATCAGGCTGATGAATGAGGGCTTCAATCTCAACACCCTAGAAAACGAACAAAAAAAAAAAAAACCGAGCGCAGGAGAAGGCCAAGGAGAATATTGTCAACTGAAACATGACAAAAATTAACGCACCTGATTATCAAGCATGAGCAGGTTGATGTGTTGTATTGTATCACCCGTTGAGAATATTTCTCCCCACAAGCACATCAGCCAGACGTGAAGGACAACCATCGGGTCAGTTACATGGATGACTGGAAGAGACTCGGCTGCCATTGGATGAAATGCAGATGATTCCTAACAGGTCGGGCCCCTAGAGAGACTAAGCTGAGAGTTAAAGAGCTTACAGGGAGGACTGAGGACTGGTAACGTGAGAATTCCTAATGAGAATGCAATTTTGGTTCAAAGAGTAATGGGAAAGCCAAAACCCATGTTGCGTTTAAATAGAGGCCCACTAAATAGTTTTTGGAACGTTGGGAGTGCTCCCCACAACTGCCGTAGCGGGCCGTATTCGACGGAGAGGTTGTTGACGTCGTGACCATTAGGGTGTGAACGTTGTTTTATAGAGGAAGCTTGGGTGAGCTGTAGTTGGATTATGCTGGGCTGGGATTCGGATTGGGCCTGGTGGCATGTTTTGGTGTGTGGGCCTCGGTGGAAAATGATGTTTTCCCGGATCCCTCACGCAGCCTTTTGCTTCTTCAACCTGTTCTGCAGGTCTTGCTAATGCCCACTACATAATTTTTATTATTTCACATTAAGTAGTTTTATTTTCATCCTAAATATCTCAGTGGTTTTATTTTATTATGAAATTTCCTCCTAGGAAATTAATTATTTTAATCGACATAGGTTGGATGATTCTACATAAGTTGAATATTATATACTTTAGTCATCTTAAAATTTAAATTATTGATTACCGGAAAGAATAAAAAGGCTAAAGTATTTACTAACTAGTTTGGTATTTATTATTAATAGAATTTAACATTAATCGAGCAGTAATAGGGGCATGAAATATTTGTGGGCTTTGTCTAGGTTGTTAACAACCGACCTTACTGCATAAAGACTGGCCTATAAATTCATAAAAAAAAAATCAACCAAACATATATAAGAATATTTAACCCAGCAATCTCCGGTTAACAAACAGATGTCAACGGTTGTCAACCCAACTTGAAGAAAGAAAGAAAATAATAATAATCTACCACCGAAAATACTCAAATAGAAAAATAATTCCCAATGTACTGTGATTGTTAGGAATTTCTAAGGATAACAGATAAAGTAATGGAAAAGTCCTTGTCGATTGGCACCTAGGATGCTAAGGTAACGTCATGCATATACTAAAACAAACACCTAGTGAGTACCATACCTTTGTAGATTGGAGCCTCAAACCCCCTCCCCACTCATCAAACTCTACACTGATACTAAATTAAGATTTTTTTCACAGTGGTAATTTTGTAATTATAATGTAGCATGTATTGCTTCAAGCTCATTTGTAAGACACACTTGTTAATAACTTTACCTCTATTTTGAATGGCGGGGAATGAAGTATGGTGGGGAGTCTATTTAGTTTAGGTCAGCTGAGGCTGTGGAAGTTCCTCTTTGTATTGCAATATAATGGTCACACTGGCATACCCTTCGGTAGAGTAAATTTAGTTACCATTAAATATAAAGTAGTGTGGGTAAATCCCATTTCATATAATTGGCGGTTAAAAACAGGAAAATAATTTGAACAAATTGAGAACTCAAGATTCAAATAGTAACGAACAGATAAATTTTACAGTATTAGTCCACAAATCGCATAAAACATAATACATCTATAAACCACTACTCAAAAATCTCAGTGAAACCAATATTCAGCATAGTCCACTACAAGAATTTTGGTTAGTTACGACAAAATAATTTTTTGTCATAATAGTTTTGTCATAATAAGATATTTAATATGACAATCATGTTATTTGTCAAAATAGTATAACCTATTATGACAAAATCAGAGTTGACAGAATATTACGTCAAAATAAGGTTTTATTATGACAAAATACGTGTCGTCATTAGTATGTTGTCAAAATATGGTGCTCCCGGGTTAGAATGACTATCTTGTTCTGACAAAAGACTTATCAATCCCTGTTTATGATTTTTGCAGCCTTACCATAATCAGTACCTGTTTGTCTTTATGTTCCAGAACGAGTTTGATATCTCCATCACTAGTGCAGCAACAAGGAAGGAAATTGAGTTTACCTTATCAAGGAGGTTCACGTCTTGGAAGCACCTATGTCATATGCACTACCAGGAATTAGGTCCTGCCAGAGCTCGCAAGACTCCACCCGAAAACATCAACATTGATGATTGGACTCGTTTGTGTGATCATTTTGAAAGTGCTGAATTCAAGGTAATAACTCAGTTCTTAGATTGTCACCATGTTTGTGTCATATCTCATTTCAAAATGATATGATGTGCAGCGGCAGAGTATAGCCAACATACAAAACAAGGGTAAGCAGACATATGCTCATACTACTGGTGGAAAGTCGTGCAGCCAGCGGATGTTTGAAATTGTAAGAAGTCATTTTCAGTGGCTGATCCATTACACAAAAATGATTATTTTCGGGCTTTGTGAATGATTTAATTACTTTTTCATGGTTTGAACTAGGAAAAAGCAAAACATGCAGCTGCCGATGACACTACTGAAAACAATGATGATTCTGGGGAGGTGGAGAATAGCAGTCAACCATCTAATGTAGTGGAGGAAGAGCCCAAAGAACTAAGGGTCTATGCAGACACCCACAAGAAACTTGATGGCAGTTGGGTGAATGTGCAACCCGAGTAGAACTATGTAAGCACTCTTTTCGTTGTGGATGAGTAGCATGAGGATTATAGGGAGTCTAGTGAATTAGAGGATAGTTGGTATATTGAATACATTAATGATTAGGGGTTTGTTGGGTGAAGGAATAATCTTGATTGGTTCCTCGAATGAGGCCAAAGGTTCATACCCTTGCGTGGTGTGTATTTATTATGTATACGGTTGCTTGCAGGAGGAAATGAGGAGGATTCATCTAGAGGCAGTTGAACAAGGAAATCCATTGTCAGGAGCTAAACTTGTTCGCAGGGTGTTGCAGAAAGCACCGAGTTATGTTAGAAAGGAAGACCTCATTTCCGAAAGAGAGAAGGAACTGGAAGCTCGTTTGGAGACCTCTCTTGCTGATGCCGATAAACAGAGGCAGGAATTCGAAGATAAAATCAAATCTCAGCAAGACCAGATCGAAAAACAGGAAGAAAAGATCCGAGGTCATAAGGTGACTATCGATGCCTTGCAAGCATCACAGGACAGTCTCAAGGAGTATGTGGAGTCACTTGCTGCGAAAATCAATGGAGGCAACACTTAGTTTCAGGTAATAAGAAAGATGTTTTTACATTTAGGAATTTTGCGCCTATAACAGAGTCTAATCGTTTTGCCTTCGCTTCTGCAACTGTGTAGGAAACATGTCAGATGTGGTGATGCACTTGGAGTCTCCACCGGCAGCTTATGGATGCTTAGATTAGCTTTTGTTGGGCAGGGCTGATGTAGACTTTCGGTTTGCTTTTTTTGTTTTTATGTATTGTGCTTCTAGATAAGTTATGAGTGTCGAGACATGAACGGTTGGTGGCACAAGAATGATATCCATCTTTTGGACATGAAGTTAGTTATGACAATGAAGTATGTTTTTGTTATTATCAATGTTGTCGTAATAACCATCTAACTTGACTAACATACAGTTGTCACAATAAGGCTCTAAGTTGACAAACAGGTCGTCAAAATAACAAGTCTAAATTACCAAAATTGGGAAATGTTGCCTTCTGTTTGACCAAATTCGTTTGTCAAAATAAGTACAAAGATCCGACACTACGTGTATTATGACAAAATCCGATAACAAACTATTCGTCAGAACTACATATTTCTTCAAAATAGCTGGGAAAAAAGTGTTGAATATTGTCACAAAATAACCCCTATTCTGACAAAATAGACCCTTATTTTAACACACCCATTCTTTCATAATAGGTGGATATTATAACAACAACCATTTAGTCAAAATAGGAAAAACTTATTGTGACAAAAAAATAATTTTGTCATTACACTTATTTTGACGAGGTAGTTTTGACTAAAAGTGTGACAAAATATTTTGTCACAATAAACCTATTATCACGAAGTTGAGATCTATTTTGACAAACATGGGTGTCAGAAGAAACCAAAATTCTTGTAGTGAGATCTTCACCGGTTTACCTTGAGAGTCACAACTAAGAATTTTGAGTCCCCTTTCCGACGTAACTCGAGACATAGCAACATACAACTTTCTATGAGAAAACTAGCCTTGTACCCGGTCCGTTGGCCGGGTAAATTTTGTTTCAAATGGTGATTGGGACAAAGCATAATGTTCGTAGATAATTAAATATTTTCTCAGTTGGTAGTATAATCTGATATTAACTAATATCGTCACTTGGGTTTTTTTATCCTACTGTGTCTACTTTGTTCAGGCTATTATTGTCGTCTTGCATCCTTTTTTATTATCTTCCTTGTAAATATTCTAATGTAAGAACCTGGTAGTCGTGTCCCTAAATTGATATGTAATGTAAGTCTCTGAATCGTTGATGTACATTGTACGTTATGGAGAATGAAACTCAAGTAGTGAGAATAAATTGTTAACTTCCAGGAAATGGATTTAGAAATGTTAGAAAGCTTATTTAAATGAAAATAGGTTTGGGAAAGACAATTTCAATGATGTATTAGCTGCAACATCCTTTTCTAGTAAAAAGAGAAGATACAGAAGTGTAGAAGATAGAACCCTGAGAATATGAACTCCAAACAAAAGGATAGAAACATAAAATACTTCCAACACAATCACATCCAGCGATGGTCAGTGTTTTGCATTAATACCAGTTGAATATGTTCATAGCAATTAAAGGAGATTAAAAATTGTTCAATATTCATCTCTTAAAAGTAGAGCATAAGAAACTTATTAAAAGTTCTGCAGATCTTGTTTCTGAGACAACGTGATAGTCTTTCGATAAGAGGTTTCAGATAGACAAACATCAATATGAATCAGAGATGACTTCAAATTTGCCGAATACTCTGGAGGCTTTATCATGTCCTCATTGTTTGCTTGGAGCAGGGCTTCAGCTGTGGTCTTCAAGAAAATCACTCCCTCTTGTTCTAGCAGCACCAAATTCGCATTCCCAGTGTCATCTTCCACATATAAGCTAACTCGAAACCTGTTGTATTGTTGTAAGTAGAAACATAATGAGCTTTAGTTTTAAAGAAGTGCATTATCTGATGGTAAAGTAGTGGAACAAAAAAGGGACATGGGAACTCCTTTGATGGTAGATATGTTGCATACTTTACACCAGAACTCATCAGTATTCTCCGGTATTTTTCTAGGGCATTTAGAGCAGCCGAAATAGCACCAGTTATCTTCCACTTCTTCTATTTTTGCTTTGAGGAAGAAATGTTTGCCCTGTAGGAATATGTAAAGAGTATGTAAAGTGGTTGAGCTTTTATTTAGTCCTGACTGATTAGTGAAGTATTTTGAATAAGTAAATCGATACCTCATTGTCAATGTCATTCTTCAGCTCGGCTAACTCTGCTATAGTTGTTGGTTTTGGTTCTGGTTCATATTTGAGGACATATTCAACTGGTGGTTTGCCTAAAACTTGTTGCTCTGGTACTTCTTCATCAATCACATGGAATGCCTTCACCTCTGGGATATCAAGATTTCCATAAATCTTGGTTGCTGTTGAGGAAGAAAAAAAGGGGATACTAGCAGATTTTGTGTGTAATATGTCAATATGAAAGAGTACTATTACGAAATTCTTAAAACCGGCAAAAAGGTCAATTTATTAAAAGATACCGTGAGCATCTTTCTTAACATAGGTTGAGGTGATGATAAGGATATCCGGTTTTCCAACGGTAGTGGCAGCTTTGAACACCTCATCAAATTGAGTAATAATTGAACCCCAAAGGGTCACTTGAATTTTGATTCCCCTGGTTCATAGTATTTTTCGATCAATCAGTATATAGTCCCTGATATTTGTGGTGACAGGAATAAAGGACCTCAATATTGAAGAGTGAGAAACGTACTCTGGAAGTTGAATATGGAGTTCTTTCCTAACCGACCTTGATACTCCATTGCACTTTTTTGATGTATTGGAATGTTTCAATAGGTATCCAATGGTGTCTTAGGGCATGTAAAACAACATAAAGAACTTAGAAATCAAATAAGGTGCTAATCAGAAAATGATGGTGAAAGGATAGAATTGACGTTACCGCATAAGAGTTGTGGTTTTCCAACTTTGCTTGGGATGTCGGCTGCTTTGATGAAGCGGAAGTTATATGGTGGAATTGAATTATCATCGTCAGTTTCTTCCATGTGGGTGTTGTCTTGGAAAAGAATCTTTAGAGGATTGTTTACTGGTCGAAAGTGTTCCTTCATCTTGATCCGTTCTACTTTGAAGTTTGAGAATTTGTAGAGTCTCTATTCATGCAGTAACGACCTCATTGTATCTACGTTATCTGCTGGGATCTGGACATTTATGTCATTCCCCTGCTTAGCATATAAGGATTTGGGTGTGTTTAGGGAATTTTTGCCAGATAATGGAAAACTAACGAGAATAGATAGTAATTGAGACATGGGATTTAACTGAGAGATGGTTGAAATGCTACGTGATAGCAAATGATTTAGAAACTTCATACCTTAGCATCAAGCAAGATAAGGTCCAATCGTATGAGGGTGTTTGTTTTGGTGTTGATTGCATCCCACATTCGCGAGATTCTGGCACAAACAGTGCCTGAGTGAAATCTAGATTGAAGTTTATCGAGCATCCCCATCCTGCAAAAATGATTAGAAGTGAAATATTTAGAATTAACTTGTAGAATGTTGGAAAAAACGAAGTTGAAAATACGATTCAGGTAGTGAAAGCAAAATTGAGAAGGAGAAGTTAGGAGAGACGTTCCTGGAATGATGTATCTTGCTGCATCAGTTGTGATGGAGTAGGGTAGCGGCTAATATATACATGGATGAGAGCAGCAGCCCACTGGCAGATGGAGAGTTGATGGCAGTTATGTTTGCACGTTCTCCGCCATTGTCGGATTTTTTGGAGGAGTTGGATTTTTTGAATGGATATGGTGAGTGAATAATCAGCTTGATTGCAGTTGTTTTAGAATTTGGGAGTTGAATTATTAAAGCTAGAGGAGGTAACTAAATCATTAGAGAAATTATTTTGGGAGGCAGAGAAGGATCAGGTTCGTCCCGATAAGAGTAACGGTGGAGATGGGACTGGATTTAGGGAAGGGAGCAAAGATAGTCTTTCGGTGAGGGAAGGTTGTTAGGGTGAGATGAAGGGCTGTTGATTTGGCATATTTGTAGTTTTCGTGTAGGACTTGTCAGGAGTGGTTGGGAGTCTTGTACAATTTTTTTATAATTTTATTTAACTATTATAATTATAATATAGAGAAGTAAAGTTATTTAGCATATAAGGACAAAAAGGTTCTGAATTCTCTGGATAATTTGGAGTTCAACTTTTGGAGGTCATATGAATAATCTCATTAATTAATAATTACAACTTGGGCATACATATCACCACAAAGGCACGATTTGGAATGCATTGAATTAGTTCAAGTCAGGGCCCATTAGTAAACGCACCTATTGTGGATCATGTGGGAGGAACGCTGAAGAGATTCTGGAGATGTATGATGGACGTGTGATGGATTATAAGCGTAGACTTGAGCAAAGTTCAGTTGTTCCCGCTGCCAAGTTGTGGTATGCAGAACTGATAGCAGAAGATGAATATAAAAATAAGGAATTATTATATGTCGAGAGGAGAATTTGAAGATTTAACTTTCATGCATTACCCATACCTGATAGCAGGAAATGAATTCAGAATAATTGATGAATAGTGAAGAGGAGCCTTGTTGGTTGGTTAATTATGTTTAATAAAAGAAGCAAAAAGGAACTGCAGCAAACAATTTGGGTTGAAGTTTGAAGTTTAGGGGGTGCTAAAATGTATATGTGGATTCATTGCAATCCTCAAAGTTGCTATATTTGAGAGATAAAATCCAGGAAGATTGAGTAAAATGAAAACCCAAGAAAAAAAAGTCTACTCCCACGTATATTGGTGACAGGAAACTTCAACTTCCAAATTATGGAATTCTAAGCATCCCAAGTCCAGAGATAGTAGGACTAAATACTAACAGGCAGTATGGTGGTCTTCTCCAGTAGCAAGTGTAAATCATTGTTGCCTGTGAAAACACAAAATATATTCAGAGAATTAACAATTTTGCTTACCACAAAAGGCATTACTTTGTTGAAGAGTTGGTAAGGTTGCTCCTATATATTAATCGAGAAGACTGGAATAAAACTAACCAATTCTGGTGTGAAAGAATTACATTTAAGACAGCAGAAATATCATCGTGATCAGAATACTCACTTACTTTTTTAGGTGCTATGGGTGAGAGCATTATGGCTTCCCGTTGTTCACTACAATTACGAATCAATTGGTATCCAAGACCTCTCTGTATACGATGTTCTTCATTGTTAACAATTCATCTCCATTTTCATTGCAGCTTAGTATCTTTAGGCCTCCTCGACTTGTGACCCTCGAGGTTGCAACGTATAACTGACCATGAGAGAATACCTGATGTTGAAGACATAACCCCACATGTTGTAGGGATTGACCTTGACTCTTATTAATGGTCATTGCAAAACACAAAGCTATAGGATATTGTCTCCTTTTCAGTGTGAAGTATAAATGTGGAACTTCAGCTGTTAGAACAGCTCTAGGCAAGAATACTTGATCTCCTACATTAGTCCCAGTAAGGATTTCAGCCTGAATGCTCCACTGTCCTAATCTCCTAATAATCAATCTTGTCCCATTGCATAATCCTGCGGTCTGGTCAATGTTTCTTAACAAAAGAACTGGCACTCCAACTTTCAGTTTCAAGTCATGATTAGGAAGGCCTCCAGGTTGTATTGTATTGAGAAAATCAGTTGGATATTCTGGATTTGTGCTACTCCCACTACCATCTTCATTAGCTATGGAATCAGAGCTAGGAAAATTTGCTTCTTCTCCTGGAATAAGGTTAAGCATGTATGAGTTAATTCTGTCAACCATCTCATGATGCGCCGCCAAGATTGCTCTCCCCTGTAAGTATGTTACATCCTTGTAGCGTTGCTGTAAGTCAGGATATGTAGAATTGACAATGTCTTCTACTAGGGAGTTTTGTCTTTGAGTTAAAAGGTCTATTGGGATTGTGATGTCTGCATCCACCATTACAGAGCATTGTTGGCCGTCTCCTATTCTAAGAACCCAATTGGAGAATGTTGATATTTCTGATGCTGTTTCGGCGGTGCAGCCTGATTGAGAAAGCCTCATGTTTTGTGTCAATTTCAACACAATCATATTATCCCATAAATATGATTTTTTTAATGAGGCCGCCACAGTTTCTGTTCTTGTTCCCTTGCGAATAACAGGGAGGACCTGACCAAAATCGCCACCAAAGACAACAGTAAGTCCGCCAAATGTTTTATGTTCACTATCTGGAAACCTTGTACGCAGAATATCTTTAAGAGTTTGGTCTAATGCCTCCATGCAATGCTTATGAGCTAGTGGTGCTTCGTCCCAAATAATCAGATATGTTTGCTGGATTAACTCGGCAAGATCTGTTCCTTGGGATATATTGCAGGTTGCTATTTCAGAGAGATTTAGAGGAATACGAAATCGAGAATGTGTTGTTCTGCCTCCTTGTAATAACAATGCAGCAATGCCCGATGATGCAACAGGTAAGACAATTTTACCACTGGATCATAGTTTTGCTATGGTAACCTTCCATAGAAATGTCTTCCCTGTACCTCCGAAACCATCAACAAAAAAGATCTTGCCCAAATTGAAGTTAACCGACTCCATTATTGCTTCAAACGCAAATCTTTGTTCAACATTTAATATTGAGATGTGATTGTTGAAGTCAACTCCTATTTCTGCAGTGTTGTAACTTAATTCCTCACCAATCAACCGATTAGAATGGTTGATCACTGAATCTACAGTGGGGACTGGAATTCCATCAAAATCAGCCAATGTTTGCCCAATTCTGCGCAACAATTTTTCAATCTCAATTAATCCAAGTTGCTGAATTTGAGCTGTCAATAATTGTAAATTGGGTAGATTGAGGGCTCGGCGACGATTGTGCAGAATATCATCACATAGTAGCTCCCAATTGTTTTCCCACAAGCTTCTTGGATTTGACACTTGAGAGCAAGATAGGAGAGTGACAAATAATTTCCGCAGTTGATGTCCACTTGCCCATTGAGAAGCTTCAACAATGCAATCCTGCCACTCTTTGTCATTGTCTAAGAAGCCTCTAGCATAACATGCCTCCTTGAAAGAGTCATAGAGTATATTATTGAAAGTCCTTATGTCTTCAAAGCTTTGGCAACCCTTGACAACATGCAACAGTATTCATAGATAAAAGCGTTGTTCGGAAGATGGATTAGCATAATATAACCGGCCAATGGTAAGTTTTGACTTTCTTGGATTCCAAGTCCTTGTATCTCCATCCCAAACATAGTGAACTGGAAAATCAAAAAAAGTATGCTGTCTTGCCGCTGGGTCATCCATGTTTCTTTTCATCCATGCTAGAAGCATTGTATCTTGTTCTCCATCCTCTACCACTTCGTCAATAGATTTATGTTCATCATATACTACCAGATTTTCTCCAGGAAGATGGTAATTCATCCGTAAAACTGAAGGTCTATGACGATGGATATCAAACTTAAAAATGTGCCAGCTAGATTCAGCAGCAGATATATAGCGGCAATCCAAGAACCTTTTATCTCATCAATGTTTTGACTTTTAGTTGTTGAAGTTGATGGCACATTGGGGTCTTGCACTTCTGTATTTACCAAAGCAGCAATTGTTTGATAAGGACTTTTTGTGATGTACTTGAACATATATTAAATAGACCTGGAAAAAATTATAGGGTTTTTACATAAGAAGAAATGAGATTGCATATCTACTATACTAAAATGTAAATTTGTTACTTGGAATGGAATATGTTAGTTTGAAAAAAGAATTGTCCATGAAAGGAATGACCATCCAAGCATAAAGAAGCAACGAAATTGGCCCTAGAATTAAATAAATAGACTATTTATACACATATAGATATATGTTCTTTATTAATAAGACCATTCAAACTTATATACATGATAACAGTTCCTTTACAGTAGAATTCCAACATTTAAAAACTTTTGTTATTGGGTCCAACTTTAACCATGAATTCAGAATTTAGAAGTATATATTGAAAATGTTATATGAAATTTTCATAAGAGATCAATTTTAGGAGCATACCTTGATTTATTACATTAGTCAACATTAATGGGATTCATAAATATATTTATTTAAAGTTCATAAGAGATCAGTTCGAGGATCATACCTGGATTTATTGCACCATTCGACATTAATGTCAGCTTGAAATCGTAGAAGTAGATATCGATTATATGTACTACATATCGATTATCTAATGGGAAGCCACTTTTGATTACGGTTCTCCCATCTTCACGCCTTCAGTAAATGGGGAACCCATCTTCATCCATTGTTGTTTTATGATGAAACTTTTTGGGAAAATGCTTTGCACATTTTCCTCCAATGGTGCAAGGAGCAGATGGAAACGCAGAACCGCAAGGACCATGAAGCATAAAACTCTTGACAGCTTGGAAACATTGTGGATCAGCATCCTTGTCTGGTATTTCTGCTGAGATTATAGAATCTATTCTTGCAGGACCAACAAACTTATCTTCGGCAACCAAGAAAATGAGTATATGCGCATGAGGCAATCCT